AATATATCTTATAATGTTAAAAAAAAAAAAAAAGAAAAAATAGATTTTGGAATTAAATCATGCCTGGGATGTATCCTTCAACAAGATAGTTGACCAAGTCCCATTTTCCTCATTTGCAAAATAGGAAAAATAATATTATGTTTTGGATATTTAATAAGATAATGTAGCATCTACTACATGGCAGTGTTTCTTACTATAAATAATATTAATGAAACTGCGATTACCATGATAACTTTCTTAAAATATTGGAAGTACCTGGTACTCTGATTTCCTGTGTTTTCTCTTTTTATTCAAATCTCCAAGTTGCTTCACAGAAGTACATGAGTGTCTCCCTTAAATTTTACTTGATGCCTCCTCCTCTTAAGAGGAAAATAATTCCTTTACAAATCTCTTTTAATAACTGTCATATTCATTCTGTTATTTTTAAGGTTATAGGATATGGGACAGCACATAGTTTCAAATGGTAATGGGAATGTTTTCTGATGACATCTAGATTCTAAGGCTTCACTCAATTGAGATTACTATTCAGTGCTTACTTTGTGACCTCTAAATTGACAGCATACCTATAAAAGGTCTTAATTATCCTGGAACCAGTAAGGTAAGATTTGTCTTGAAATTTGGAATATAAATAAAAAATACTTAATTTAGAGAGGGTTGTTGGAAAATATTTTTGAGTGAGTAAATGAGTAAATATTGATGTTTCACAATAAAATGTACAAACTGGTATTATAGTGGATATTTTAAAATCTGTAGCCTTCATATTTTCATCTTTTTAAGATGTATATCATTGGTACAAGAAACATTACTCATGAGATAGCACTGTAAGTTCCATATTAGTGAAATTTCTCTTGCTATCATTCATCTAGATTAAATCGATTGATCTATTTTCTGTCTGTCTGTCTTATCTTTCTTCAGTAAGTAGGCCAGTCACACAATACTGGAGAGTAGACTTGCCATATCTTCTTTTACAGCAGTGCCAAGAATGAGCTGGTTAGATAGTCTGCTTATACCCTGACAGTTTCAGATGCCCTAGTAAATAAAACAAGGCAAAATGATGCAGAAAAGTATTTCAAAACAAATTGATTTGGGTAGACTACCTGAACATTTCTAAAGTAGTCTCAATCATTACACAATTACTAAAAAACAAGAGACTTTAATATTTTGCTTTTTAGCATATGTTCAGTAAAATATCACTTTAGTTGAGTGTGTTAAATCAAAAATCAGAATTTAAAATTTCTAGTCAGTTTTGGGAAAATTATTTTGTGGCTTTGAAATTAGAGTAGAACTAGTACAAAGTAAAAAGAGAAACATGTTTTAAAACAATAATGTGGGGCTGGGGAGATGGCTCAGTGGAATAAGTGCTTCCCTGGCAAGTGCAAGGGCCTGAGTTCAATCCCTGGTTCCGCAAAAAAAGAAAAAAAACAAACAAACAATAATGTGATAAAATTGCTACTTTATAAGAGAGTCAAGAGAGCAGATTTTCTTTTTAATGATTAAATTAATGCAATAAGATTAAGATCAGGTTGATAATACAGGGATCCTACTTATATAATTTTTTTTTTTTTTTTTTTTTTTTTCCCCCAGAACCAGGGATTGAACTCAGGCCCTTCTGTTTGCCAGGCAAGCACTTATTCTACTGAGCTATCTCCCTGACCCCTTTACTTATATTAAATCTGTTCAGTCAACTTTCACTAATCCTGTCTAATGAAGAAAGGGTTGAGTCAGTGAAAAGTCAAATTTATGGAACATTGTGAAAGAAAGTTAGCTTTATTGCTTTCAAAATGTACAGGATTGGCCCACACTAAAGAAAGAGTATCAATCTTCTGTTGTAAGAGACAGAACTTAAACTGGGTAAGACTGATATTAAGCATGTTCATCAATCAAAATCAGTTCCCTAAAAGTTTGTTCCTGCCACTGTGATGTTCTGTTCTGTATAAGAAGCTTCACATTTCTCCAGTTCCTTTTCCCTTTTTGTTCTACACAGGTGAGGATTTCTCTAAGTGTCTCTCTTGCCAGTTTCTTTATCTTTCCACCTAACAAATTCGCAAATAATTTAAAAACATTGAAATGTAGTTCACATACTGTTAAAATTCATTCTTTAATAATGGGCAGTTAAGTGGATTTATTATTTTGGACATTTTGTGCAAGCATCACTACTAATTCCAAAACTTTGATTTCACCAAAGAGAAACTCATGTGTGTCGGTGGTCACTGTCTGTTCTTCCTTTTCCTGTGGTCTGTAGCAACCACTGAATTACTCTGTCTTTGTGGAGTTTGTATTTTGTTTAATGGGATAATATTATGTGGCCTTTCAGTGACTGGCTTTTTTCATTTAGCACAGTGTTTTTAGGGCTCATTCATGTAATAGCATGTATCAGTTCTTTGTTTCATTTTTATGGCTGCACATTATTTGTTTTATGAATATGCCACATTCTTCCATTGATAGATATTTGACTTTTATCCCCCATATTTTGACTATTATGAATAATGCTAATAGGAACATTTGTGAATGAGTTTATTGCTGTAATATGGTTTTAATTCTCTTGAGCATATGTTTAGAAATTAACTATCTTGGCCACATGGTAAGTCTTCACCTTCCTTTCAAAAGGAACCATTAAAGTGCACCATTTTAGATTCTTGCCAACAATGAACGGGATTCCAGTTTTTCCAGGTAGTTATTTTTTTCTTTTAATTTTATTTATTTATTGGTGTGTGTATGTGTGTGGCCAGCTCAGCCCACCAGGGAGCGGGGTGGCTGGCATGTGGTGCTGGGGGACAGAACCGCGGTCCCTGTGCTTTGCTAAGCTTGTTCTAAGTAGGTGCTTTAGACCACTGAGCCATCTCACCAGCCCCCTCCAGGTAGTTATTGACACTTGTTGTTATTCATCTTTTTCATTGTAGCCATCCTAATGGGTTGAAGTGGTGTCGTCTTGTGGTTTTTATTTTATGTTTTCATAGAGTGACTAATACTGTTGAAAAATCTTTCCATATATTTGTGAGATGTTGCATACCGTTAGAGAAATAGCTCTTCATAATCTTTACTATTTTAAAAATAGGGTATTTGTTTTTGACAGTTGATTGCTAATAAATATTTAGTAATTGATTGACTGGTGGCAGTACTTGATCCCAGACCCTCAAGCATGAACCCAGAGCCTCAACCATGTGAGACAACTGTTGTGTCACTGAGCTGCATTCTCAGTCGCTTTTTACAATGTATTTTGAGACAAGAGTCTTGGTAAGTTACCCAGGTTGGCCCACTGCTTCAGCTTCCCTAACAGCTTAGATTATAGGGTGAGCCACCACACTGGCTAATTCTAAATACATTCTAAATACATAAATTGTACCAGATACATGATTTGAAATTATTTTCTACTGTTACTAATTGTATTTCCACTTTCATAATGATGACTTTTGAAACAAATTTTAAATTTAAATTCTGATAAAGTGTGATTTTTTTTTCATTGTGTATACTTTTTGTGTCATATCTAAGAATTGTTTGAGGGTCATGCATTATTATGTCTGTGCCTTCTTCTGAAAGTCTGACAGCACATATATTTAAGTCTTTGAACCATGTTGAGTCAGTTTTTGTGGATGTGGGGTCCAATTTCTTGCTTTATCTTGTGGCTGTCCTGTCAATACAATACCGTTTGTTGAAAAGACTTGCTTTCACATTAAGTTATCTTGGAACCCATGTCAAAATTAGTCATAGATGTGTAAATTTACTTCTTTTTCCTTGAGCTACGTGTCTATCCTGTATTTGTACCACAGTCTTATTTATTGTAGCTTTGTAGTAAGTTTTGAATTCA